TTTCTTTCTTTGGGACCTCCAAAAACCGGGAAGGAACCCCTGGAATTTCCCCCCCCCTCTCTTTTCCTCCTCCTTTTCCCAGGGATTTATCCCAAATTCCCGGCCCTTTTCATCCCATGAATTATTCATTAAGGGCCAGTTCTTAATTAATTAATTAATTAATTCATGGATCCCGAGGGGGGAGGGGGGAGGGGAAGGAAAATCGGGAATGCTCCTTTTCCTGGTTTTTTTTTTCCCGTTTTCTTTCCCTCTGGAATTTTCCTCACTCCTGGGGGTTTTTTTCCACCCCTCCCCCCTCTCCCAGGGTTTGGAATTCCTTGGAATTTTTCCTCCCTTTGGGAATTTTTTGGAGGGTTGAGTTTGGGGGAGGAGAGGGGGAAGAATTCCTGGGATTTTCCAGGAGTTGGGATGGGCTTGGAATTCTTTGGGAATTTTCCAGCCCTGGGAAGGGGATTTTTTTGGGATTTATCCCTCTGGATCCCTAAAAATTCCCATTCCCAGCTTTTCCAGCCCCTTTTTTTCCCAGATCCTGGATCAGGGTCTGGGATTTGCTTGGAATTCTTTGGGATTGGCTTGGAATTCTTTGGGATGGGCTTGGAATTCTTTGGGATGGGCTTGGAATTCTTTGGGAATTTGCTTGGAATTCTTTGGGATTTGCTTGGAATTCTTTGGGATTGGCTTGGAATTCTTTGGGATGGGCTTGGAATTCTTTGGGATTTGCTTGGAATTCTTTGGGATGGGCTTGGAATTCTTTGGGATTTGCTTGGAATTCTTTGGGATTTGTTTGGAATTCTGTGGGATTTGTTTGGAATTCTTTGGGATTGGCTTGGAATTCTGTGGGATTTGTTTGGAATTCTTTGGGATTTGCTTGGAATTCTTTGGGATGGGCTTGGAATTCTTTGGGATTTGCTTGGAATTCTTTGGGAATTTGTTTCGGATTCTTTGGGATTTGCTTGGAATTCTTTGGGATGGGCTTGGAATTCTTTGGGGAATTTTCCAGCCCTGGGAAGGGATTTTTTGGGATTTATCCCATTGGAAACCCGGCCCTGGATCCCTAAAAATTCCCATTCCCAGTTTTTCCAGCCCCTTTTTATCCCAGATCCTGGATTGGGGTCTGGGATGGGCTTGGAATTCTTTGGGATGGGCTTGGAATTCTTTGGGATGGGCTTGGAATTCTTTGGGATTTGTTTGGAATTTTTTGGGATTTACTTAGAATTCTTTGGGATGGGCTTGGAATTCTTTGGGATTGGCTTGGAATTCTTTGGGATGGGCTTGGAATTCTTTGGGATTGGCTTGGAATTCTTTGGGATTTGTTGGCTTGGAATTCTTTGGGATTGGCTTGGAATTCTTTGGGAATTTGTTTGGAATTCTTTGGGATTTGCTTGGAATTCTTTGGGATTGGCTTGGAATTCTTTGGGATGGGCTTGGAATTCTTTGGGATTTCCCATCCCTAGAAGGGATTTTTTTAGGGGGTTCATCCCATGGGAATTCCCGCTCCGGATCCCTAAAAATTCCCTAAAAAAATTCCTTAAAAATTCCTGCTTTTCCAGAGCCTGAACCAGAGTCTGGGCTGATGATGGGGGGTGGGATATCCTTGGAATTCTTTGGGAATTTTCCATCCCCGAGAGGGAATTTTAGGGGTTCGTTTTTTTGGAATTCCGGTTCCAGATCCCTAAAAAAATTCCCTAAATTCCTGTTTTTCCAGACGCTGCTGCAGAGCCCCGAGGAGGGTCTGGGATGATGGTGGGGGGTGGGATATGCTTGGAATTCTTCAGGATATCCTTGGAATTCTTTGGGATTTCCCATCCCTAGAAGGGATTTTTTTGGGGGGTTCATCCCATTGGAATTCCAACTCTGAATCCCTACAATTCCCATTCCCATTCCTGCTTTTCCAGACCCTTTTCCAGAGCCTGGGATGATGATTGGGGGTGGGATATACTTGGAATTCTTTGAGATATGCTTGGAATTCTTTGGGATTTCCCATCCATAGAAGGGATTTTTTTAGGGGTTCATCCCATTAAAATTCTTGTTCCAGATCCCTAAAAATTCCCTAAAATTCCCATTCCTACTTTCCCAGACCCTTTTCCAGACCCTTTACCAGAGTCTGGGCTGATGATGGGACCGGGATATCCTTGGCATTCTTCAAGATATACTTGGAATTCTTTGGGATTTTCCATTCACAGGAGGGAATTTTCGGGTTTGGATCCCACCCTGATCCCTAAAAATTCCCATTCCTGCTTTTCCAGAGCCTTTTCCAGAGCCTTTTCCAGAGTCTGGGCTGATGATGGGGTCGGGATATCCTTGGACTTCTTTGAGATATCCTTGGACTTCTTCGAGATATGCTTGGAATTCTTTGGGAATTTTAGGGGTTCGTTTTTTTGGAATTCCCACTCCGGATCCCTAAAATTCCCATTCCCATTCCCACTTTTCCAGACGCTGCTGCAGAGCCCCGAGGAGGCTCTGGGATGGTGGTGGGGATGGGCAGGATCTGCTTGGAATTCTTTGGGAATTTTCCATCCCTAGAAGGGATTTTTTTGGGGCTTCATCCCATTAAAATTCTCGTTCCAGATCCCTAAAAATTCCCTAAAATTCCCATTCCCATTTTTCCAGACCCTTTTCCAGAGCCTTTTCCAGAGCCTGAACCAGAGCCTGGGCTGATGATGGTGGGGCAGGACATGCTTGGAACCTTCAGATGGGTGGGAATTTCCATTCCAAGGAGGATATTTTTTTGAGTGGGGGTTCATCCCATGGGAATTCCAACTCTGAATCCCTAAAAATTCCCATTCCCACTTTTCCAGAGCCTTTTCCAGACCCTTTTCCAGAGCCTGGGCTGATGATGGGGGGTGGGATATCCTTGGAATTCTTCAGGATATCCTTGGAATTCTTCAGGATGGGCTTGGAGTTCTTTGGGATTTTCCATTCCCGGGAGGGAATTTTCGGATTTGGATCCCACCCTGATCCCTAAAAATTCCCATTCCCGCTTTTCCAGACCCTTTTCCAGACCCTTTTCCAGACCCTTTTCCAGAGCCTGGGGTGATGATGGGGTCGGGATATCCTTGGAATTCTTCAGGACGTGCTTCGAATTCTTTGGGATTTTCCATTCCCGGGAGGGAATTTTCGGGTTTGGATCCCACCCTGATCCCTAAAAATTCCCTAAAATTCCCTAAATTCCCTTTTTCCAGACGCTGCTGCAGAGCCCCGAGGAGGGCTGGCAGGTGCTGCGCTCGGCGCAGGCTCCGGACGGGCGGTGCCTCTGCACGGCCCTGGTGCCCGTGCAGGGATCCTGCGCTCGAGACCCACCCGGGATCCGCATCCGGAACCTCCTGGAAAAGGTCGGGAATCACCCTGGGAATTCTGGGAATTATTGTGGGAATTCTTGTGGGAATTGTTGTGGGAATTCTTGTGGGAATTCTGGGGGTTAATCTGGGGGGGGAGTTGGAGGCCCTGGTGCCCGTGCAGGGATCCTGCGCCCGAGACCCACCCGGGATCCGCATCCGGAACCTCCTGGAAAAGGTCGGGAATCACCCTGGGAATTCCGGGAATTCATCTGGGAATTCTTGTGGGAATTGTTGTGGGAATTGTTGTGGGAATTCTGGGGGGTTAATCTGGGGGGGGAGTTGGAGGCCCTGGTGCCCGTGCAGGGATCCTGCGCCCGAGACCCACCCGGGATCCGCATCCGGAACCTCCTGGAAAAGGTCGGGAATCACCCTGGGAATTCCGGGAATTCATCTGGGAATTATTGTGGGAATTCCGGGAATTCACCTGGGAATTGTTGTGGGAATTATTCTGGGAATTCTGGGGGTTAATCTGGGGGGGGAGTTGGAGGCCCTGGTGCCCGTGCAGGGATCCTGCGCCCGAGACCCACCCGGGATCCGCATCCGGAACCTCCTGGAAAAGGTCGGGAATCACCCTGGGAATTCTGGGAATTCATCTGGGAATTGTTGTGGGAATTGTTGTGGGAATTCTTGTGGGAATTCTGGGGGGGAGTTGGAGGCCCTGGTGCCCGTGCAGGGATCCTGCGCTCGAGACCCACCCGGGATCCGCATCCGGAACCTCCTGGAAAAGGTCGGGAATCACCCTGGGAATTCCGGGAATTCTTCTGGGAATTGTTGTGGGAATTCTTGTGGGAATTCTGGAAATTCTTGTGGGAATTCTGGGGGTTAATCTGGGGGGGAGTTGGAGGTGGGGATGGGAATTGTTAATGAGATATGGGAATGATGATGGGAATTGTTAATGGGAATTGTTAGTTGGAATTGTTGATGGGATTTGGGAATGATGGCTGGGAATGATGATGGGAATTGTTAATGAGATGGGAATGATGATGGGAATTCTTAATTGGAACTCTTAATGGGATAGAAATGGTGATGGGAATTGTTAATTGGAACTCTTAATGGGATAGGAATGGTGATGGGAATTGTTAATGAGCCGGGAATGTTGATTGGAAATTGTCAGTCGGAATTGTTGGGATGGGAACACCGAGATTCCCCCAAATTCCAAACCCCAGATCCCAAACCCTCTAATCCCAAATTTTCCAATCCCCTGGCAGGTTCAGAACATGTCCCAGTCCCTGGAGCAGCTGGAATTGTGGGACCTGCTGGATTGGATGGGAACACTGGGATACCAAACCCCAAATCCCAACCCTCTAATCCCCATTTTCCAACCCTCTAATCCCAAATTTCCAACCCCTGGCAGGTTCAGAACATGTCCCAGTCCCTGGAGCAGCTGGAATTGCGGACCCTGAGGGACCTGCAGGATGGGATGGGATGGGAACACTGGGATGGGAACACTGGGATCCCAACTCCCTAATCCCAAATTTCCCCTGGCAGGTTCAGAACATGTCCCAGTCCCTGGAGCAGCTGGAATTACGGACCCTGAGGGACCTGCAGGATGGGATGGGATGGGATGGAATCAATGGAATGGGATGGAATCAATGGGATCCCCTGCATCCCTAAATCCCTAATCCTGATTTTCCCATCCCCTGGCAGGTTCAGAACATGTCCCAGTCCCTGGAGCAGCTGGAATTGCGGACCCTGCGGGACCTGCTGGATGGGATGGGATGGGATCCCCTAATCCCTGATTTTCCCATCCCCTGGCAGGTTCAGAACATGTCCCAGTCCCTGGAGCAGCTGGAATTGCGGACCCTGAGGGACCTGCAGGATGGGATGGGATGGAATCAATGGAATCAATGGAATACCCTGGATCCCAAATCCCAAATCCCTGATTTTCCCATCCCCTGGCAGGTTCAGAACATGTCCCAGTCCCTGGAGCAGCTGGAATTACGGACCCTGAGGGACCTGCAGGATGGGATGGGATGGGCTGGAATCAATGGAATGGGCTGGAATCAATGGAATACCCTGGATCCCAAACCCCAATTTCCAATCCCCTCATCCCAAATTTCCCCTGGCAGGTTCAGAACATGTCCCAGTCCCTGGAGCAGCTGGAATTGCGGACCCTGAGGGACCTGCAGGATGGGATGGGCTGGGATGGGATGGAATCAATGGAATACCCTGCATCCCTAAATCCCTAATCCCAATTTCCCATCCCCTGGCAGGTGCAGAACATGTCCCAGTCCCTGGAGCAGCTGGAATTACGGACCCTGAGGGACCTGCAGGATGGGATGGGCTGGGATCAATGAAATACCCCAGATCCCAAATCCCAAATCCCTGATTTTCCCATCCCCTGGCAGGTTCAGAACATGTCCCAGTCCCTGGAGCAGCTGGAATTACGGACCCTGAGGGACCTGCAGGATGGGATGGGATGGGATGGGATGAATGGAACACTGGGATCCCAAATCCCCATTTTCCAACCCCCTAATCCCAGATTTCCTCTCTGGCAGGTTCAGAACATGTCCCAGTCCCTGGAGCAGCTGGAATTGCGGACCCTGAGGGACCTGCAGGATGGGATGGGATGGGATCAATGGAATACCCTGGATCCCAATCCCCATTTTCCAACCCCCTAATCCCAGATTTCCTCTCTGGCAGGTTCAGAACATGTCCCAGTCCCTGGAGCAGCTGGAATTACGGACCCTGAGGGACCTGCAGGATGGGATGGGATGGGATGGGATTGGAACACTGGGATCCCAAACCCCAAATCCCAACCCCCTCATCCCAGATTTCCTCTCTGGCAGGTTCAGAACATGTCCCAGTCCCTGGAGCAGCTGGAATTGCGGACCCTGAGGGACCTGCAGGATGGGATGGGATGGGATGGGATCCCCTAATCCCTGATTTTCCCATCCCCTGGCAGGTTCAGAACATGTCCCAGTCCCTGGAGCAGCTGGAATTGCGGACCCTGAGGGACCTGCAGGATGGGATGGGATGGAACAATGGAATGGGCTGGGATCAATGGAACACCCTGGATCCCAATCCCCATTTTCCAACCCCCTAATCCCAATTTTCCAATCCCCTGGCAGGTTCAGAACATGTCCCAGTCCCTGGAGCAGCTGGAATTACGGACCCTGAGGGACCTGCAGTACGTTCGCAGCACCGAGGGCCTCGTGAGGGGTCTCGACCTTCGGCTCCGCGGGGCCTCCCAGGGACCCCCCGGCCTCAGCGCCAGAGGATTCCAGGTGGGAACATCCCATGGAAAATCCGTGGGAAGGGCGGGAATTCCACGGGGAGGGCACTGACCCTTTTCTTTTCACAGGATCTGGGGCTTTGATCCCGTTTTTTGGGTCATTTTGACATCGTTTTTGGGTGATTTTGGGTCATTTTGGCCCCATTTTTGGGTGATTTGGGGTCATTTTGACCCCATTTTTGGATGACTTTGACCCCATTTTTGGGTCATTTTGACCCCATTTTTGGGTCATTTTGACCTCATTTTTGGGTCATTTTGATCCCATTTTTGGATGACTTTGATCCCAGTTTTGGCTGATTCTGACCCCATTTTTGGGTGATTTTGGGTGATTTTGGGTCATTCTGACCCCATTTTTGGGTGATTTGGAGTCATTTTGACCCCATTTTTGGCTGATTCTGACCCCATTTTTGGGTGACTTTGATCCCATTTTTGGGTCATCTTGACCCCATTTTTGGGTCATTCTGACCCCATTTTTGGGTGATTTTGACCCCATTTTTGGATGACTTTGATCCCATTTTTGGGTCATTTTGACCCCATTTTTGGGTGATTTTGATCCCATTTTTGGGTGATTTTGATCCCATTTTTGGGTCATTTTGACCCCATTTTTGGGTGATTTTGATCCCATTTTTGGATGACTTTGATCCCATTTTTGGGTCATTCTGACCCCATTTTTGGGTGATTTTGACCCCATTTTTGGATGATTTTGATCCCAGTTTTGGGTCATTCTGACCCCATTTTTGGGTGACTTTGATCCCATTTTTGGGTGATTTTGACCCCATTTTTGGATGACTTTGATCCCATTTTTGGGTCATTTTGACCCCATTCTTGGATGACTGATCCCATTTTTGGGTCATTCTGACCCCATTTTTGGGTCATTTTGACCCCATTTTTGGGTCATTTTGATCCCATTTTTGGATGACTTTGATCCCATTTTTGGGTCATTTTGACCCCATTTTTGGGTGATTTTGACCCCATTTTTGGATGACTTTGATCCCATTTTTGGGTCATTCTGAGCCCGTTTTTGGATGACTTTGACCCCATTTTTGGATGACTTTGACCCCATTTTTGGATGACTTTGATCCCATTTTTGGGTCATTTTGACCCCATTTTTGGGTGATTTTGATCCCATTTTTGGCTGATTCTGACTCCATTTTTGGGTGATTTTTGGGTCATTTTGACCCCATTTTTGGGTGATTTTGACCCCATTTTTGGGTGATTTTGACCCCATTTTTGGATGACTTTGATCCCATTTTTGGGTCATTTTGACCACATTTTTGTATGACTTTGATCCCATTTTTTGTTGATTCTGACCCCGTTTTTGGCTGATTTTGGGTCATTTTTGGGTGTTTTTTGCTGTTTTCCCAGGACCTGAAGCAGCAGATGTCGGAGCTGCTCCCACTGTGACTTTGATCCCATTTTTGGGTCATTTTTCCCCCATTTTGGCTGATTCTGACCCCATTTTAGGTGATTTTGGGTGATTCTGACCCCGTTTTTGGGTGTTTTTTGCTGTTTTCCCAGGACCTGAAGCAGCAGATGTCGGAGCTGCTCCCGCTGTGACTTTGATCCCATTTTTGGGTGATTTTTGGGTGATTTTGGCTGATTCTGACCCCGTTTTTTGCTGTTTTCCCAGGACCTGAAGCAGCAGATGTCGGAGCTGCTCCCGTTGTGACTTTGGCTCCATTTTTGGGTGATTTTGACCCCATTCCTGCTGTTTTCCCAGGACCTGAAGCAGCAGATGTCTGACCTGCTCCCACTGCTCCCAGTCCTGGACCAGTTCCGCTCGGATTCGCGGCTGATCGCGGCGCTGAGGGCGGAGGTGGCCAACGTGTCCCTGGGCCTGGTGGCCCTGCAGGAGGAGTTGGGGGCCTTCGACTACGAGGAGCTCCAGCAGCGGCTCCTGCTGCTCCAGGCCCGGCTCCACGCCTGCCTCCAGAGGCTGGGTGGGGAATTTGGGGGCTGGGAAAACTGGGAATGGGGCTGGGAAAATGGGAATGGGGCTGGGAAATGGGAATGTGGGAATGGGGCTGGGAAACCGGGAAGGGGGAGCTCAGGATGGGCTGGAGATCTTGGGATGGGTTGGAGATCTTGGGATGGATTGGATCCCTTGGGATGGGTTGGATCTGCCTCCAGAAGCTGGGTGGGGAATTGGAGCTGGAAAACTGGGAATATGGGAATGGAGAGCTTGGGGAACTGGGAATGGGGCTGGGAAAGTGGGAATGGGGAGCTTGGGATGGGCTGGAGATCTTGGGATGGGTCGGATCCTGGCTCCACGCCTGCCTCCAGAGGCTGGGTAGGGAATTTGGGGCTGGAAAAACTGGGAAACTGGGAATGGGACTGGGAAAATGGGAATGGGGAACTTGGGATGGGTTGGAGACCTTGGGGAACTGGGAATGGATCCCTTGGGATGGGTTGGAGACCTTGGGGAACTGGGAATGGATCCCTTGGGATGGGTCAGATCCCGGCTCCACGCCTGCCTCCAGAAGCTGGGTAGGGAATTTGGGGCTGGGAAAACTGGGAATGGGGCTGGGAAACCGGGAATGGGGAGCTTGGGATGGGCTGGAGAGCTTGGGGAACTGGGAATGGGGCTGGGAAATGGGAATGGGGCTGGGAAAATGGGAATGGGGAGCTTGGGGAACTGGGAATGGGGACCTTGGGATGGGTCAGATCCCGGCTCCACGCCTGCCTCCAGAGGCTGGGTACGGAATTTGGGGGCTGGGAAAACTGGGAATGTGGGAATGGGGCTGGAAAACCAGGAATGGGGACCTTGGGATGGGTTGGAGATCTTGGGATGGGTTGGATCCCTTGGGATGGGTTGGTTGGAGATCTTGGGATGGGCTGGATAAATTGGGATGGGTTGGAGATCTTGGGGAACTGGGAATGGATCCCTTGGGATGGGTCAGATCCCGGCTCCACACCTGCCTCCAGAGGCTGGGTACGGAATTTGGGGGGCTGGGAAAACTGGGAATGTGGGAATGGGGAGCTTGGGATGGGTTGGAGATCTTGGGGGACTGGGAACGATGAGTTTGGGATGGGTTGGATCCCTTGGGATGGGTTGGAGATCTTGGGATGGGTTGGAACTGCCTCCAGAAGCTGGGTATGGAATTTGGGGGCTGGAAAAACTGGGAATGTGGGAATGGAGAGCTTGGGGAACTGGGAATGGGGCTGGGAAGCTGGGAATGGATCCCTTGGGATGGGTTGGAGACCTTGGGGAACTGGGAATGGAGACCTTGGGATGGGTTGGATCTGCCTCCAGAAGCTGGGTAGGGAATTTGGGGGGCTGGAAAAACTGGGAATGGGGCTGGGAAAATGGGAATGGAACCCCAAATCCCCCCTGCCTTTAATCCCACTTTTCCAAGCCCTTTTCCCGTTGTTTTTCCAGGCTGTGGGAAGCTGACCAGGGTCAGCAACCCCCTCAAATCCCCCCCCTTTAATCCCACTTTTCCAAGCCCCTTTTCCCAACGTTTTTTCCCCTTTAATCCCACTTTTCCAAGCCCTTTTCCCACTGTTTTTCCAGGCTGTGGGAAGCTGACCGGGGTCAGCAACCCCATCACCGTCCGCGCCTCCGGCTCGCGCTTCGGCTCCTGGATGAGCGACACCGTCACCCCCAGCGCCGACAGCCGGGTGAGGGGGGGTCCTGGGGGGGGTTCTGGACCTTAAAATCGAGATTAAAGGGGGTTAAATTCAGTTTGGGGAGGGTTAAATTCAGTTTAAGGGGGTTTAAACCCATTTTAGGGGGCTTAAACTCAGTTTAGGGGGGGTTAAACTGAGTTTGGAAGTGGTTAAACTGAGTTTGGAGGGTTAAACTGAGTTTTGGGGGTTAAACTGAGTTTTGGGGCTTAAATTCAGTTTAGGGGCTAAATTCAGTTTAGGGAGGTTAAACTGAGTTTAGGAGTTAAATTCAGTTTGGGAGGTTAAACTCAGTTTAGAGGGGTTAAACTCGGTTTGGGGAGTTAGGGTTAAACTCGGTTTGGGGGGTTAAACTGAGTTTAGGGGTTTGAGCTCGACTTGGTGACCACCCCCAGCGCCGACAGCCGGGTGAGGGGGGGTCCTGGGGAGGCTGGACCTTAAACTCGAGATTAAAGGGGTTAAACTCAGTTTAGGGGTTAAACTGAGTTTGGAAGGGTTTAAACTGAGTTTGGGGAGTTAAACTGAGTTTTGGGGGGTTAAACTGAGTTTAGGGGTTAAACTGAGTTTGGAAGGGGTTAAACTGAGTTTGGGGTTAAACTGAGTTTAGGGGGGGTTAAACTCAGTTTAGGGGGGGTTAAACTGAGTTTGGAAGGGGTTAAACTGAGTTTGGGGGGGTTAAACTCAGTTTAGGGGGGGTTAAATTCAGTTTAGGGGGGTTAAACTGAGTTTAGGGGGGGTTTAAACTCGGTTTAGGGGGGGTTAAACTCAGTTTAGGGGGGTTTGAGCTCGACTTGGTGACCACCCCCAGCGCCGACAGCCGGGTGAGGGGGACCCTTCCCAACCCTTTTTCCCCCTTTCCCACCCCTTTCCCACCTTTTTTCCCCCTTTTCCCCTTTTATTTCCCATTTTTTTCCCCTTTTCCCCCCATTTCTCCCTTTATTTGCCCTTTTTTCCCCCTTTTTTCCTCCTTTTTCCTCCCCTTTTCACCCTTTTTTCCCCTTTTTTCTCCCCCTTCCCCCCTTTTCTCCCTTTCCCCCCTTTTTCCCTCTTTTTCCCCTTTTTCCCTCCCTTTTCTTCCCCTTTTTTCTCCCTTTTCCCACCCTTTTTTCTCCCTTTTCCCTCCTTTTCTTCCCTTCTCCCTTTTTTTCCCCCATTTCTTCCCCTTTTCTCCTTCCCCCTTTTCCCCCTTTTTTCTCCCCCTTTTCCCCTCTTTTTCCCCTTTCCCTGTTTTTCCCCTTTTTCTTCCTTTTTCCCTTTCCCCTTTTTCTCCCTTCTTTCACCCTTTTCCTTTTTTCCCCTTTTCCCTTTTCCCTTTTTCCCCTTTTTCCCTATTTTTCCCCTTCCCCCTTTCTCCCTCACCTCCTAACCCTTTTCTTCCCCTTTTCCCCCTTTCTTCCCCCCTTTTCCCCCTCCCCACCATCAACCTTCTAACCCATTTTCCCCCTTTTTCCCCATTTTTCCCCCTCTTCCCCCCTTCTCCCCTCACCTCCTAACCCTTTTCCCCCCTTTTTCCCATTTTCCCCTTTTCTCCTCCTTTTCCCCTTCCCCCTTTCCCTCCCTCCATCGACTTTCTAACCCATTTTCCCCCTTCCCTTTTTCCCCATTTTTACCCCTCCTTTCCCCCTTTCCCCCTCCTTTTCCCCCTTTCTCCCCCTCTTCCCCCCTCCCTTTAACCTTCAGACTTTCTAACCCATTTTCCCCCTTTTTCCCATTTTTCCCCATTTTCCCCTTTTTCCCCATTTCTTTTCCCATTTTCCCCTCTTTGCCCCCTTCTCCCCTCACCTCCTAACCCTTTTTTTCCCCATTTCTTCTCCCCATTTTCTCCCCTTTTTTTCCCATTTTTTCCCCATTTCTTTTCCCCATTTTTTCCCCTTTTTCCCCCCCTTTCTCCCCTCCCCACCATCAACCTTCTAACCCATTCTCCCCCATTTTTCCCCCTTTTTTCCCCCTTTTTGCCCCCATTTCCCCCATTTTCCCCCAAAAAAGGTGTGGTACATGGACGGCTACCTCCGCGGCCGCCGCGTGCTGGAGTTCCGCACCCTCGACGACTTCGTGGCGGGGCAGAACTTCATCCAGCACCTCCTGCCCCACCCCTGGGCGGGCACGGGGCACGTGGTGTTCAACGGCTCCCTCTTCTACAACAAATACCAGAGCAACGTGGCCGTCAAATACCACTTTGGCTCCAGGAGCGTCCTCGTCCAGCGCAGCCTCCCCAGCGCCGGCTACAACAACACCTTCCCCTACTCCTGGGGCGGCTTCTCCGACATCGACTTCATGGCCGACGAGAGCGGCCTCTGGGCCGTCTACACCACCCAGCAGAACGCGGGCAACATCGTGCTCAGCAGGCTGGACCCGCACAGCCTCGAGGTGCTGCGCACCTGGGACACCGGGTGCGTTAATTGGGTGTTAATTAATCAGTAATTGACGGGGGAGAGAGCGGCCTCTGGGCCGTCTACACCACCCAGCAGAACGCGGGCAACATCGTGCTCAGCAGGCTGGACCCGCACAGCCTCGAGGTGCTGCGCTCCTGGGACACCGGGTGTGTGTAAATTAGTGTTAATTGGGTGTTAATTGGGGTTAATTTACCGGGGGGAGAGCGGCCTCTGGGCCGTCTACACCACCCAGCAGAACGCGGGCAACATCGTGCTCAGCAGGCTGGACCCGCACAGCCTCGAGGTGCTGCGCAGCTGGGACACCGGGTGCGTTAATTGGGTGTTAATTGGGGTTAATTTACCGGGGGGAGAGCGGCCTCTGGGCCGTCTACACCACCCAGCAGAACGCGGGCAACATCGTGCTCAGCAGGCTGGACCCGCACAGCCTCGAGGTGCTGCGCACCTGGGACACCGGGTGCGTTAATTGGGCGTTAATTGGGTGTAAATTAATCAGTAATTGAGGTGTCAGAGGGTGGGGATGGGCTGTGACACCACCCAGCAGAACGCGGGCAACATCGTGCTCAGCAGGCTGGACCCGCACAGCCTCGAGGTGCTGCGCACCTGGGACACCGGGTGCGTTAATTGGGGTTAATTGGGTGTAAATTAATCAGTAATTGACGGGGGGCAGAGCGGCCTCTGGGCCGTCTACACCACCCAGCAGAACGCGGGCAACATCGTGCTCAGCAGGCTGGACCCGCACAGCCTCGAGGTGCTGCGCTCCTGGGACACCGGGTGCGTTAATTGGGGTTAATTAATCAGTAATTGAGGTGGTAGAGGGTGGGGATGGGCTGTGACCCCACCCAGCAGAACGCGGGCAACATCGTGCTCAGCAGGCTGGACCCGCACAGCCTCGAGGTGCTGCGCACCTGGGACACCGGGTGCGTTAATTGGGGTTAATTGGGGGTAAATTAATCAGTAATTGAGGTGGTAGAGGGTGGGGATGGGCTGTGACCCCACCCAGCAGAACGCGGGCAACATCGTGCTCAGCAGGCTGGACCCGCACAGCCTCGAGGTGCTGCGCTCCTGGGACACCGGGTGCGTTAATTGGGTGTTAATTGGGTGTAAATTAATCAGTAATTGATGGGGGATGGGCTGTGACCCCACCCAGCAGAACGCGGGCAACATCGTGCTCAGCAGGCTGGACCCGCACAGCCTCGAGGTGCTGCGCTCCTGGGACACCGGGTGCGTTAATTGGGTGTTAATTGGGTGTAAATTAATCAGTAATTGATGGGGGATGGGCTGTGACCCCACCCAGCAGAACGCGGGCAACATCGTGCTCAGCAGGCTGGACCCGCACAGCCTCGAGGTGCTGCGCACCTGGGACACCGGGTGCGTGTAAATTAATCATGAATTGTAATTAATTTACGAGGTGGATCATTTTTTCCCCCCTTTTTTACCTCCAATTTCCCCCTCTCCCAGGTACCCCAAGCGCAGCGCCGGCGAGTCCTTCCTCATCTGCGGCACCCTCTACGTCACCAACTCCCACCTGGCGGGGGCCAAGGTCTACTTCGCCTACGACACCGGCAGCTCCAGCTACGAGTACACCGACATCCCCTTCCACAACCAGTACTCCCACATCTCCATGCTGGACTACAACCCCCGCCAGAGGGTCCTCTACACCTGGAACAACGGCCACCAGGTCGTCTACAACGTCACGCTCTTCCACGTCGTCAACACCAGCGGGGACATCTGAGCACTGGGGGGTGGAGAAGGGTGGGTTTGGCTCCAGGGAGCTGCTGATTCCCCCCTGGATCCAGCTCTGATTCCACTCTGGACCCTCCACTCTGGATCCACCTCCAGGAGCTTCTGATCCCACCCCAGATCCAGCTCTGATTCCAGGCTGGGTTTGGCTCCAGGAGCTTCTGATTCCCCCCTGGATCCAGCTCTGATTCCACTCTGGATCCTCCACTCTGGATCCACCTCCAGGAGCTTCTGATTCCACCCCAGATCCAGCTCTGATTCCATCCTGGATCCAGCTCTGATTCCACCCTGGATCCAACTCTGATTCCACTCTGGATCCTCCACTCTGGATCCACCTCCAGGAGCTTCTGATTCCATCCTGGATCCAGCTCTGATTCCGCTCTGGATCCTCCACTCTGGATCCACCTCCAGGAGCTTCTGATTCCCCCCTGGATCCACCTCCAGGAGCTTCTGATTCCCCCCTGGATCCAGCTCTGATTCCACCCTGGATGCATCTCCAGGAGCTTCTGATTCCATCCCTGGATCCAGCTCTGATTCCACTCTGGATGCATCTCCAGGAGCTTCTGATTCCACCCCAGATCCAGCTCTGATTCCACCCCAGATCCAGCTCTGATTCCAGGCTGGGTTTGGCTCCAGGAAGTTCTGATCCCACCCCAGCTCCAGCTCTGATCCCCCCCTGGATCCATCAGTGGCTCCTCCAGCTACGAGTACACCGACATCCCCTTCCACAACCAGTACTCCCACATCTCCATGCTGGACTACAACCCCCGCCAGAGGGTCCTCTACACCTGGAACAACGGCCACCAGGTCGTCTACAACGTCACGCTCTTCCACGTCGTCAACACCAGCGGGGACATCTGAGGGTTGAGGGGTTGGACGAGGCTGGGTTTGGCTCCAGGGAGCTGCTGATTCCAGCCCTGATCCAGCTCTGATCCCATCCTGGATCCAGTTCTGATTCCACTCTGGATCCACCTCCAGGAGCTTCTGATTCCAGCCCTGATCCAGCTCTGATTCCACCTGGATGCATCTGCAGGAGCTTCTGATTCCACCCCAGATCCAGCTCTGATTCCACCCTGGATCCAGCTCTGATTCCACCCTGGATGCATCTCCAGGAGCTTCTGATTCCACCCCAGATCCAGCTCTGATTCCACTCGGGATCCACCTCCAGGAGCTTCTGATTCCACCCCAGATCCAGCTCTGATTCCACCCTGGATCCAGCTCTGATTCCAGGCTGGGTTTGGCTCCAGGAGCTTCTGATTCCCTCCTGGATCCAGCTCTGATTCCACCCCAGATCCAGCTCTGATTCCAGGCTGGGTTTGGCTCCAGGAAGTTCTGATCCCACCCCAGATCCAGCTCTGATCCCCCCCTGGATCCACCAGTGGCTCCTCCAGCTCCGAGCACACCGACATCCCCTTCCACAACCAGTACTCCCACATCTCCATGCTGGACTACAACCCCCGCCAGAGGGTCCTCTACACCTGGAACAACGGCCACCAGGTCGTCTACAACGTCACGCTCTTCCACGTCGTCAACACCAGCGGGGACATCTGAGCACTGGGGGTGGATTTGGGGGTTCCACGCTGGGTTTGGCTCCAGGAGCTGCTGATTCCAGCCCTGGATCCAGCTCTGATTCCACTCTGGATGCATCTCCAGGAGCTTCTGATTCCACCCCAGATCCAGCTCTGATTCCACTCTGGATCCTCCACTCTGGATCCACCTCCAGGAGCTTCTGATTCCACCCTGGATCCACCTCCAGGAGCTTCTGATTCTACCCCAGATCCAGCTCTGATTCCAGGCTGGGTTTGGCTCCAGGGAGCTGGAATTCCCTCCTGGATCTACCTCTGATTCCAGGCTGGGTTTGGCTCCAGGAGCTTCTGATTCCACTCTGGATCCTCCACTCTGGATCCACCTCCAGGAGCTTCTGATTTCATCCTGAGTCTGGCTCTGATCCCATCCTGGATCCAGCTCTGATTCCACCCTGGATGCATCTCCAGGAGCTTCTGATTCCACCCTGGATCCAGCTCTGATTCCACTCTGGATCCTCCACTCTGGATCCACCTCCAGGAGCTTCTGATTCCCCCCTGGATCCACCTCCAGGAGCTTCTGATTCCACCTCAGATCCAGCTCTGATTCCAGGCTGGGTTTGGCTCCAGGAAGTTCTGATTCCCCCCTGGATCCAGCTCTGATTCCACTCTGGATGCATCTCCAGGAGCTTCTGATTCCACCCCAGATCCAGCTCTGATTCCACTCTGGATCCAGCTCTGATTCCACCCCAGATCCAGCTCTGATTCCAGGCTGGGTTTGGCTCCAGGAAGTTCTGATCCCACCCCAGATCCAGCTCTGATCCCCCCTGGATCCATCAGTGGCTCCTCCAGCTCCGAGCACACCGACATCCCCTTCCACAACCAGTACTCCCACATCTCCATGCTGGACTACAACCCCCGCCAGAGGGTCCTCTACACCTGGAACAACGGCCACCAGGTCGTCTACAACGTCACGCTCTTCCACGTCGTCAACACCAGCGGGGACATCTGAGCCTTGGGGGTGGAGAAGGTGGGTTTGGCTCCAGGGAGCTGCTGATTCCAGCCCTGATCCAGCTCTGATTCCACTCTGGATCCAGCTCTGATTCCACCCTGGATGCATCTCCAGGAGCTGCTGATTCCATCCTGAATCTGGCTCTGATCCCATCCTGGATCCAGCTCTGATTCCACCCCAGATCCAGCTCTGATTCCAGGCTGGGTTTGGCTCCAGGAAGTTCTGATCCCACCCCAGATCCAGCTCTGATCCCACCCCAGATCCAGCTCTGATTCCATCCTGGATCCAGCTCTGATCCCACCCCAGATCCAGCTCTGATTCCAGGCTGGGTTTGGCTCCAGGAAGTTCTGATTCCCTCCTGGATCCAGCTCTGATTCCACTCTGGATCCTCCACTCTGGATCCACCTCCAGGAGCTTCTGATTCCCCCCTGGATCCAGCTCTGATTCCAGGCTGGGTTTGGCTCCAGGACCTTCTGATCCCACCCCAGATCCAGCTCTGATTCCACTCTGGATCCTCCACTCTGGATCCACCTCCAGGAGCTTCTGATTCCCCCCTGGATCCAGCTCTGATTCCAGGCTGGGTTTGGCTCCAGGAAGTTCTGATCCCCCCCCAGATCCAGCTCTGATCCCCCCCTGGATCCATCAGTGGCTCCTCCAGCTCCGAGCACACCGACATCCCCTTCCACAACCAGTACTCCCACATCTCCATGCTGGACTACAACCCCCGCCAGAGGGTCCTCTACACCTGGAACAACGGCCACCAGGTCGTCTACAACGTCACGCTCTTCCACGTCGTCAACACCAGCGGGGACATCTGAGGGTCGGGGGGTTGGACGAGGGTGGGTTTGGCTCCAGGGAGCTGCTGATTCCAGCCCTGATCCAGCTCTGATTCCACTCTGGATGCATCTGCAGGAGCTTCTGATTCCACCCCAGATCCAGCTCTGATTCCCTCCTGGATCCAGCTCTGATTCCCCCCTGGATCCAGCTCTGATCCCACCCTGGATCCTCCACTCTGGATCCACCTCCAGGAGCTTCTGATTCCATCCCTGATCCAGCTCTGATCCCACCCTGGATTTGGCTCCAGGAAGCTGGAATTCCCTCCTGGATCCAGCTCTGATCCCACCCTGGATCCAGCTCTGATTCCACTCTGGACCCTCCACTCTGGATGCATCTCCAGGAGCTTCTGATTCCACCCTGGATCCAGCTCTGATTCCCTCCTGGATCCTCCACTCTGGATCCACCTCCAGGAGCTTCTGATTCCATCCCAGATCCAGCTCTGATTCCACCCTGGATGCACCTCCAGGAGCTTCTGATTCCACCCCAGATCCAGCTCTGATTCCACCCTGGATGCACCTCCAGGAAGTTCTGATCCCACCCCTGATCCAGCTCTGATTCCACCCTGGATCCTCCACTCTGGATCCACCTCCAGGAGCTTCTGATTCCACCCCAGATCCAGCTCTGATCCCACCCCAGATCCAGCTCTGATTCCAGGCTGGGTTTGGCTCCAGGAAGTTCTGATCCCACCCCAGATCCAGCTCTGATTCCCCCCTGGGTCCATCTCCAGGATCTTCTGATTCCACCCCGGATCCAGCTCTGACTCCAGGCTGGGTTTGGCTCCAGGAGCTTCTGATTCCACCCCAGATCCAGCTCTGATTCCCCCCTGGATCCTCCACTCTGGATCCACCTCCAGGAGCTTCTGATTCCATCCCAGATCCAGCTCTGATTCCAGGCTGGATTTGACTCCAGGAAGTTCTGATTCCCTCCTGGATCCAGCTCTGATTCCCCCCTGGATCCAGCTCTGATTCCCCCCTGGATCCAGCTCTGATTCCACCCCAGATCCAGTTCTGATTCCCTCCTGGATCCAGCTCTGATTCCCCCCTGGATCCATCCCTGATTCCCGGCTGGATTTGGCTCCAGGGAGCTGGAATTCCCTCCTGGATCCAGCTCTGATTCCCTCCTGGATCCAGCTCTGATCCCACCCTGGATCCAGCTCTGATTCCCTCCTGGATCCAGCTCTGATTCCCGGCTGGATTTGGCTCCAGGGAGCTGGAATTCCCTCCTGGATCCAGCTCTGATTCCCTCCTGGATCCAGCTCTGATTCCATCCCTGATCCAGCTCTGATTCCCCCCTGGATCCAGCTCTGATTCCCCCCTGGATCCAGCCCTGATTCCCTCCTTGATCCAGCTCTGATTCCCTCCTGGATCCAGCTCTGATTCCCCCCTGGATCCAGCTCTGATTCCACCCCAGATCCAGCTCTGATTCCCCCCTGGATCCAGCCCTGATTCCCTCCTTGATCCAGCTCTGATTCCATCCCAGATCCAGCTCTGATTCCCCCCTGGATCCAGCTCTGATTCCATCCTGAATCTGGCTCCGATTCCCTCCTGGATCCACCTCTGATTCCCCCCTGGATCCACCTCTGATTCCAGGCTGGATTTGACTCCAGGGAGCTGGAATTCCCTCCTGGATCCAGCTCTGATTCCCTCCTGGATCCAGCTCTGATTCCCTCCTGGATCCAGCTCTGATTCCCTCCTGGATCCACCTCTGATTCCCTCCTGGATCCACCTCTGATTCCCCCCTGGATCCACCTCTGATTCCCTCCTGGATTCAGCTCTGATTCCCTCCTGGATCCAGCTCTGATTCCTTCCTGGATCCAGCTCTGATTCCATCCTGGATCCAGCTCTGATTCCCTCCTGGATCCAGCTCTGATTCCAGGTTGGATTTGGCTCCAGGAAGCTGGAATTCCCTCCTGGATCCAGCTCTGATTCCCTCCTGGATCCAGCTCTGATTCCCCCCTGGATCCAGCTCTGATTCCAAGCTGGGTTTGGCTCCAGGGAGCTGGAATTCCCTCCTGGCTCCTTCTCCGATTCCAGGCTGGATTTGGCTCCAGGAAGTTCTGATCCCACCCCAGATCCAGCTCTGATTCCACCCTGGATCCAGCTCTGATTCCCCCCTGGATCCAGCTCTGATTCCAGGCTGGATTTGGCTCCAGGGAGCTGGAATTCCCTCCTGGATCCAGCTCTGATTCCAGGCTGGATCCAGCTCTGATTCCCTCCTGGATCCAGCTCTGATTCCCCCCTGGATCTGACTCCGATTCCCTCCTGGCTCCTTCTCCGATTCCCCCCTGGATCCATCCCTGATTCCCGGCTGGATTTGACTCCAGGGAGCTGGAATTCCCTCCTGGATCCAGCTCTGATTCCCGGCTGGATTTGGCTCCAGAGATCTGGAATTCCCTCCTGGATCCAGCTCTGATTCCAGGCTGGATTTGGCTCCAGGGAGCTGGAATTCCCCCCTGGATCCAGCTCTGATTCCTGGCTGGGTTTGTCTCCAGAGATCTGGAATTCCCTCCCAGCTCCATCCCCGATTCCAGGCTGGAATTTTCCCTTTTCCTACCTTTTTTTCCATGCCCTTTTCCCGTTTCCTGGGGGTCTCTCCCGGCGCATGGAGCTCCTTTTTTATGCCTTGCTCATCTGAGTTGCCTTGGAATTGTTTTCCCTTTTGGGAATTTCTCGGGATATTTTTCTGGATTTTTTTGGTTTTCTTCTCATTTTCCATCTTTATTTTGGCAGCAAATAAAGAAATAAATAAATTAATAATTAAAGAAATATGAAATAAATAAATATATAAATAAAGAAGTTAAAAATCTCGTGGGTTTTTGGGTTGAGATTTTTTTTTTCTTTTCCAGGTTTTTTGTTTTTTTTTTGGGAATTTTGGGGTTGGTTTTCCAATTGTTGTTGTTGGTGTTGGGTTTTTTTTTTCCTACCAGGGAAAAGAGGGTGGGAAAGAAGGAAAAAAAGGTGGAAAAGGGGGAAAAGAGGGTGGAAAAGAGGGGAAAAAAGGTGGGAAGGGGGGAAAAAAAGGTGGGAAAAGGGGGAAAATGATGGAAAAGGGAGGAAAAATGATGGAAAAGAGAGGAAATAAGGATGGAAAAGAGGGAAAAGAGGTGGAGAAGAGGGGAAAAAAGGTGGGAAAAGGGGAAAAAAAGATGGGAAAGAGGGGAAAAAAGGTGAGTAAAGGGGGAAAGAAAGGTGGGAGAAAGGGGGAAAAAAAGGTGGGAAAAGGGAAAAAAAGGTGGGAAAAGAGGAAAAAAAAGGTGGGAAAGGGGAAAAGGGGCTGGAAAAGAGGGAAGATTCTCCCCAGTTTTTTCATGGAAATTTCCCCTCATTTTTCGTGGAATTTCTCCCCATTTTTTGTGGAATTCCCCCCCATTTTCTATGGAATTTCTCCCCCATTTTTCGTGGAAATTCCTCCCCATTTTCCATGGAATTTCTTCCCCATTTTCTATGGAATTTCTCCCCCATTTTTTGTGGAATTCCCCCCCATTTTTCAGTGGAATTTCTCCCCCATTTTCGTGGAATTTCTCCCCATTTTTTGTGGAAATTCCTCCCCATTTCCATGGAAATTCCTCCCCATTTTTCGTGGAAATTCTCCCCATTTTCCATGGAATTTCTCCCCTTTTCCCTATGGAATTTCCCCCCTTTTTTCCTCATGGAAATTCCTCCCCATTTTCCATGGAAATTTCCCCTTTTTTTCCTATGGAATTTCCCCCCATTTCCCATGGAATTTCCCCCCATTTCCCATGAAATTTCCCCCCATTTTTCATGGAATTTCCCCCCATTTTCCATGGAAGTTCCCCCCTTTTTTCCTTATGGAATTTCCCCGCTTTTCCCATGGAATTTCCCCCATTTTCGTGGAATTTCTCCCCCATTTTCCATGGAATTGCTCCCCATTTTCCATGGAATTTCCCCATTTTCCATGGAATCCCCCCCATTTTTTGTGGAATTTCTCCCCCTTTTCCCATGGAAATTCCCCCATTTTCCATGGAAATTCCCCCTTTTCCCC